TTTTTTTTTTTGTTTGAGATGGAGTTTTGCTCTGTCACCCAGGCTGGAGTGCAGTGGCGTGATCTCGGCTCACAGCAATCTCCGCCTCCAAGGTTCCAGTGATTCTCCCACCTTAGCCTCCTAAGTAGCTGGGATTACAAACATATGCCACCATGCTTGGCTAATTTTTTTGTATTTTTAGTGGAGATGGGGTTTCATCATGTTGATCTCAAACTCCTAACCTCAAGTGATCTGCTCACCCTGGCCTCCCAAAGTGCTGAGATTATAGGTGTGAGCCACTGCACCCGGCTTACATTTTGATTTTAAGCTATTTATGTAGCATTTACAAAGTGCTATCTTTTTTCCCTATGAGAAATTAGTTACTTCTTTAGTAAGGTTTTATCTAATATATCTCACCGATTTCAAAACAATCTCATAATTTTTGAAGCTGTTTTACTAGTATAGAATGCTAAAAAAATCTATGTCAAACCGTGGTTGTTATGAGTGATATTTTGTTTATCAGTAGACTCTTTCGTCTGGACTTTTGACTTGAAGTTCTCTGATTTTGTGAAGATTATTCAAAGAATAATGTCACATCTCTACAAGGCAGTGTTGTTAATCTGAAAGTGCCATAGTAAATGTTAAGACCTATTTTAAGGTTTTAAAAATAATAGCAGAACACAGCAATAACTTTAATATGTACGAATTTCAGGTACATTTCCTGATGCCCAGCTTCCTTCTAAGAGGATTATTGGCCCCAAAAATTATGAATTCTTAAAGTCAAAGAGGGAAGAGTTCCAGGAATATCTACAGGTAGAACATCAACTGTATTGATTCCAAAAGTTGCTAATTATAGCATTCTCTAATTTGTCTCTTTTTCTCTTTTACATTTGTGCTTTGCTCTATAAATACCTGTCCGTGTGGATTTTAATTAAAAAAAATTTCCATGTTTATTTTAGAATGAATTTTGGTCAAGAGTATATTACTTCCACCTACCTTCTCTCCCCTGTCCCCCCCAAAATGGAATAAAATACAAGATATTTTCTTAGGGGAAGAAAAATCTTTTTTTTTTTTAAACTGAGTCTTACTCTGTCACCCAGGCTAGACTGCTGTGGCATGATCTAGGCTCACTGCAACCTCCACCTCCTGGGTTCAAGTGATTTTTCTGCCTCTGCCTCCCTAGTAGCTGAGATTACAGGCATACACGCCATGCCTGGCTAATTTTTGTATTTTTAGTAGAGACGGAGTTTCATCATGTTGGCCAGGCTGGTCTCAAACTCCTGACCTCATGGTCCACCTTCCTTGGCCTCCCAAAGTGCTGGGATTACAGGCGTGAGGCACTACATCCAGTCCAGAAAAATCTTTACTTAGTTTTAGGCTGATTAAAACTTTGTATAGGACATTAAAAAAGAAACATTTGGTGTAAAAGATTAGATGCATTTGAAGAATACTGGGTAGTATTCTTAGAATATTTGTTATTGTTTGTTCTGTTTTCTGTTTGATTTTGTGTTTAGCATATTCTGAACTTTGGAGTACCTTTTCTTTTGGGTTCATAGATGTTTTTCCAATTTCCTGGGATCAACTCTACTATTTGCTACATGGAATTGAATCCCATTTTTTTAATAGTGTTATATGTGCACATAACATTACGTTAAAATATAATTGGTATGTTATTTCAATACCTGGTACAGTCGGTGTAAAAGTTACTTGAGACGTCAGGCTCTCCAAGATTAATAACCGTCTTTCTTTATCAAGTGCTTATAAGAGAGGATACTTAATATTTGTTTAAAAAATATTTTACTTGGGGATGGAATTTTATATGTTTAAAAAATTGTTGATTCGGTCAAATTTGGATCCTACCCAAAAAGAAATACTTTTAAATTAAAAATACTCAGCAGTGTAAAGGAGTATTTACACTTTATTTCCTCTCTCTGAACTGTTGAATGCTTTCAACGCCAAGTTGAAAAATAGATCGATATTTTCTATATACATTTTTTGGTGATGTGAAAATTGAAATATGAAATAATAATTACTGCAGGGATGTTTGGATAAAACATAAAACTATGTCTTTGTTGATACTGTTAACCCTATTTGAGCCAGCTAATTATTTCTACAAACTAGAGTACTTCACTGTATAAGAAGTATTTCTGTTAATATGGATTTAAATTAGAGGTTGCTGTACTGGTTTTTAAATGTAGATTTCTATTTATGTTTTGTTAGTGTTTCATAGTTAGAAAACTATTAGGTTAAGACTGGGTGAATTTTGGCTTTTAAGTCATTTTTTTTTTTTTAATGGAATTTCGCTCTTGTCATCTAGGCTGGAGCGCAGCATGATCTTGACTCACTGCAACTTCCACCTCTCGAGTTCAAGCGATTCTCATTCCTCAGCCTCCCAGATAGCTGGGATTACAGGCCATCACCACTGGCTAATTTTTGTATTTTTAGTAGAGATGGGATTTTGCCTTGTTGGTCAGGTTGGTCTCGAACTCCCAACCTGCCCACCCACCTTGGCCTCTAAAGTGATAGGATTACAGGCATGAGCCACTGTGCCTGGCCCATTTTATCTTATTAGAAAATAGTGTTGCAGGAAGAACAGACAACAGATTTTTAAAGTTATTTCACATTTCCACATCTAGTTTTCTGCAAAACCCTTTATGCTGACTTTTAAAAATTATTAAGAAAGTTGTGTCATGCTATTGTACTCATTTTATAGTTGAGAAACTGGGAAATAATAGTAGCTTATGTTTAGTTTTACTTCCTGTGTGTCCATTACTGTGCTGAATGCTTTATATAATAACACTGTAAAGTCGGTAGTGTCATTATTCTTATTTTATAGGTGAGGAAACTGACTCTTGGACAATTTAGGAACTTTTCTAGTGTCAGCTAGCATGTGGAAGAGCCAGAATTCAAACTCATTCATGTCTGGCTGTAAAGGCCAAGGTCTTACCTACTATCCTATACTCTTCTTTCTAAAAATGCAATTGCTTTGTTATTATTTTAAATATAAAGTAGCTTTTGGGGATAAAAATAACATTAAAAAAAACATTTAAATACAGTTTTGATTACTCTTCTAGATTTCTAAACTGTTTTTCCCCCCCCTTTTTTTTGTTCATTCAAGAAACTTCTGCAGCATCCAGAACTGAGTAATAGTCAACTTCTGGCAGACTTTCTTTCCCCTAATGGTGGGGAAACACAGTTTCATGATAAGATACTACCAGATGTAAACCTTGGTAAGTCAATTTGAAGAATCATTATAAGAGAATAAGCTGAAAAGAATCAGCATTTTCAAATTAATTTAGAAAAATAGTTTATATAGTATAGCCTATGGTGAACTCCAAGGCTCTTATTTCTACATTTAGAGGTAGATTGACCTTACTCTGTCCATTCATCATTCAGTGACTGATTATTTAAGCAGTCACTTCTAGCCATATGTCCTCATCACAGAAAATAATATTAGTCAATATATTTATAAATTTATTTTCTTAAATTTAAATATGAGAAAAGTAGAGATGGTGTTTTTAGCATATGTGAATCAGTGTTTTCAGCATACAGTATATGAATAGCTATGGTGTTTGAAATGTCTCATTAAGTATATCAAAAAGACTAACTCTGTTGGCATTTGACTTAGTGTAAAGCCAGTTGATTTTTTCTTCACCTTTCTGTTCTATTGTGTCCTTTCTTATTTTGTATTTTAAAGCATATAAATATGTTTAAAACCTAATTTTTGGATAACTTATAGTAGTAATTTAGGTAAGTAAACTTTGTATAATTGACTTTTAGTTAACTTGAATTAATCTTAATGTCATTCTGAGCAAATTTCATTTCATGGTACTTCTGTACATGGATTTTATTTAAAGTTGAATTGTTGTCTGTAAAACTGGCATGGAATGTACACATGAGATTGTAGAAACATTTCTGCTTTAAATATCATTGTTTTTCACTTGTTTTGAATTTTTAATTAGTAATTTAGAAAAATAATTTAGGCTCTTTTTCCTTAATTTCAGAGTAACTTTGTAATTAGTAAAACCATTTTGCAGTTAATAGATTGCCTCATTTCTATTAGTACTGTTGTAAAGGAAATTAAGATGTGTCAGAAAGCTTATATTTGCTCTGTTTTTCAAATATTAATATTTATTATGACAGATAAAAAATCTGTGGCCAAAGCACAGTCTGCTGGGATACTGAAGACATTATCATATTTTTACTATTAGAGATTGAAGTTAGTATTTCCTGAAGATGATGTTTCAGAAAGCATTTTTTTGTTGTAATACTTGAGCACCTAATTTCAGCTGTCACTTTTGGATGAGGTATTTATATTATAGTTTGTCTAAATAGCAACAAGGTCAACAGAAATCCAGATAGATCATCTTCTCTAACCACTAATATAGTATATACATTATAAGTGCATGTATAGTCCGGGCACGATGTCTCACACCTGAAATCTCAGCACTTTGGGAGGCCAAGGTGGGCAGATCATGAGGTCAGGAGTTCGAGACCAGCCTGGCCAGCATGGTGGAACCCTGTTTCTACTAAAAATACAAAGATTAGCCAGGGAAGGTGGCACATGCCTGTACTCTCAGCTACTTGAGGAGGCTAAGGTAGGAGAATCACTTGACCCTGTGAGGCGGAGGTTTCAGTGAGCCGAGATTAC